AAAAAGGCAAAATTTGTATGTAGAATCATTAATTGAAAAAAATAAAACATAATAATTGAGCAAACCTTAACATAGTGGCTTTTGACAACAGCTGAAGGGAACATGAGATCGAGTCCATGAACATAACCGTGGATTATATCCTCATTTTCATCAGGGTATGCCAAATACATTCCTTTCAGGGACTCTTCATGAGAGTCCTTCTTTGAGCAAGTCAAAGGCTTCTCGTCCACATTTTCCCCATCAACATGAAGTCTCACGAGATCCCTCAAAACCTTGAAACCCCATTATTACACTATCAAGTTTAACTCTATAGCAGTAAGGAAAAGAAAAAGAAGGAATAAAAAAAAGAAAAAGATATGGATCTTACTAAAGATTGTATAAGCAGCTTTCAACACTAATATTTTGGTTTATTAAGCAATGAGAGTTTAGTTTTCTCAAAAGATATTATTACGAACAAAAAAATGCCAATTACATTCTCATCATAATACGTTAACATTTTTTTTATTAAATTGCTCTAAAAATTTTCAAATAAACTCCCAAGGAGGATGCTTTTCGTGAGAGAATAACTTGCGCGAGTGGCTACTATACCTCCGCACTTTAATGGCCACAATCTCAAAGTAATTTATATTGATTTGTTCATTTCATAGAGTGGATTTTACACGGATATGAAACACCAACAAGCTAAAATACTCGGAAAAGAAACTTTTAAAATCAGGACGGCTTAATCAGACAATCGAGACATATTAGGCCTTAGGGTCCAGTAAAATGCACTTAACAGCACGCTTTTGTGAAAATAGCAACTAAAAAAAGTGGATACAAGTGAATATACAACTATTGGGAAAAGTATCAAGTCTTAAAGATCGATAAATGGTAATAATCAATACAATATGATAGAGTAAACAATACAAAACATCTGGTCATGAGCGAAAAGGATGTGAGATATATTACGAGTGAGATACCTCACATCCCACATGAACCCATTTCTTGACGGGAAACTCAAACTCGGTCGAGGCACACGGAATATCGACCCATGGTGTCGGGATACTGGCACCAGGGGCCTCTTCATGTAGAAATAGCAAAGGAAAGAGCTTCATCCTTTTCTTATCATCCAACCATAGGAAAGGCACACTAGATGTTAACTTGGTGTGGTTCTGCAAAGTGCATGAGCATTAAAAAGGATAGCCAGTGAAGAAGCTAAGCATGCATTAGTTCATCAAAAAAAAAACAAAAAAAAAAAAAAAAAAAAAAAAAAAAAAAAAAAAAAAAAAAACAAAAAAAAAAAAAATTCAAGGGAAGAAAGACATAATTTTTAGAAGATAGGCATTCCCAAGCATAGAAATGATCACTTGATAACAATGTCTCATCAGATTATCAGCAAGATGCTTGCAAAGTTTAAACTTTGAAACTTATAGACCAATGAGAAGAAAGATTATACTTTCAGAAATTTTCGGCATCTAACGAATCGGCATTTGATGATAACTAGCACAAGAGGTTGACACAGGTAACCGGACGTACAGTGTAGCATTAGAACAAATTCACTGGAAGAACACTCCAGATACAATACAATACCGATCGAGCAATGACATAATCCTCAGCACCATTTCACCAAATTTAAGAGGACATAAAAAAATTGGTTTATTTTTCCTTCAATGAAAAAGAAAGGATGCTTTCATGAAAGTTAATCCCAATTGCTTTTAGTAACAAAAATACACAAAATACATCAAGAGCCTTAAAGATGTAAGCTTTTCTTCAACTAATAAGTCTCCAACCCTAGCGCATCCTTTAAGCATTATCAAAAGGGCAAACATCAGCACACAAAGAAAGCATAAATGAGAAAAAAAGCAAGTTAGGCCCAAACCTGAAGCAGGACTACAGAAGGGTAACAAGCACAGCTGTCAATGTAAAGCCAAAAACACAAACTGAAAACCCCATTTTCTTCACCCTCACTACCATCGCAGACATCATCTCCTTTGAATTCCACTTTAACATTTCTCAGTAAAACGTAATCTTTATCCTCCGTCCCACCAAAAGCTCCCATCGTTTTACCACACAAAATTGACCACANCTTCTAATTTCTTTCTCTCTTTTTTTTTTCAGATGATTTCCCTCTTTTTTCTGTTTTTGTGGGGGAGTTGAGGAGATGTGTGACGGCTGTTAATTAACGGTTGGTGAGAGTCATCGGCAGTTCTTGTTCTGTTCTGCACTTTTTCCTCGCTTCAGAATTTGGGCTTTGTTTCTCTGTTTTGCGCCCATAGTTGGGAGAGTGGTTTTGAAGCGGTGCCTCCAAATATATCAACTTTAAAAATAAAATACTTTTAAAAAAATTAAATTAAATAACTATGCCTATCCTCTTCCTCTTATTATATATTAATTCAGAACGTGTTGAGCCAATGTGGCAGGCTCGCATGCTTCGGGATCCTATGTGTCAAAATTACATGCTTCGTTATTAGGCTTGGGTAGATTTAATTTACTTCTTATCCAAATATATTTAGGTTCGAATTATCTATAAATATGTTGATTATTTATGGTAGAGGTGGGCGCCGGTCGGGACGGTGCTGGATTTGACTTGTCCGGATATCCATTCCACTTTTAAGAATCCGTCCATGAACGGTTCGGGATAAGGCACCGTCCCTACCCATATAATACATGGGTATTGTACTAATTTGTGTTNATTATATCTCAAAAACACGAAAGTATTTACAAACCGCGGGTTAACTAACCCGATAAATGATCTAGACAGATGAGGAATACACCAAAAGGTGGACAAATGAGCAAAAAAATACAGAAATGTAGTTCAATCATTGGCAGTCATACACGGCTGAATCCAATAGATTGAATCTTCATTTCCGGGCCTAGCAAAAGCACATATACAAGGCACAGCAAAATAGAGAACTACCACTGCACCAAAGGGCCTAGTAGAACTCTAGTCAAAACCAAAGAGCAAAAAGTCCAAAAGAAATTAACTAAACACAAAAGGCATTAACCAAACTAAAACTAGCTAGGGGTAGTATGCGGCCAGTTGAATTCTTGCCATTCCTTAAGAGCAGCATCTGCTATGGACTTGGCTGGCCTCCATGTTTTTTTGAAGATCCAAAGATTTCGAGTTTTCCAAATCCACCATAGGATGTAGGTTGAGAGTTGAATTCTGTGTTCTGAAATGGTGGATTTGTCCAGCGCACATACCTTTCCCCACCAAGCTGGAAAGCTGTCTGTTTCTCTTGTCAGACCATCCCATGAAAGAGGTGAAAGTTTCCATATCTCTTGGGCTCTGGGGCAGGAAAAGAATAAGTGCTCAATTGTCTCTGGTTCTTTTCCGCAGCTTGCACAGGTGCTGTCGATGTCCATGCCTCTTTTGACCAAATTGCAGCAGACAGGTAAAGCATTTTGCAGGCTTCTCCAGAGAAAATGCTTTAGTTTCCCTTTTACTCTAAGCATCCAACTTCTCTTCCTGGTTGATTTGTTAGATTTCTGAGAATTGCTTCCTTCAGGGAGATCGAGTTTCCTCCATTTTTCTGAAATCAACAAGGCATAGGATGAAGAGACTGAAAATTTGCCATTTGCTGCATGGTCCCAGAGGAGCCTGTCAGGTTTTGTGGGATCTAGACCTTTGATGCTGAGGATGGCTGTGATTTCATTGGGGTTGAATAATTCCTGCAGCAAGCTCAAGTTCCACTGTCTGCCAGTGTAATCAAGCAGTTCTTTCACCCAGGTAAAATTCTTATGCTGTTCATTTGTGCATTGAGGTCTGAATCCTGGTATTGAAGGGACCCAAGGGTATTCCCAAATCTTTATGGAGGCCCCATCTTTGACATCATATCTGAACCCTTCATTGAAATTGTCTCTAACTTGTAACCAGCTTTGCCATAGCCATGAGCTATTTTGCTTTTTCTTGACTGTAAAGACACTCCCATTAGGGAAATATCTACTTTTCATCACCTTGCTGACTAGGAGGTTTGGCTTTGTGAGGATTCTCCATAGTTGCTTGATTATCAGTGCTTTATTGAATAAATGAATATCCATAAAGTCCAATCCTCCTTTATCCTTGGGCAGAGAGAGCAATTTCCAGGATTTCCAGTGGATACCTTTTTGTTGATCAGCACCATTCTTCCACCAGAAGTCAGCTAGAAGTTGAGTGATTTTTTGACAGAGTGATTTGGGAAGGAGAAAGGTTGACATGGCATATACAGGCAGTGCTTGGAGCACAGCTTTCAACAAGGTTTCCTTACCTGCAAGTGAGAGAAAGTTGTTTTTCCAGGAACAAATTCTTTTTTTGACATTTTCCAGAATGAATGCAAAAGTCTCAATTTTGGATTTCCCCAAACCAAGGGGTAGGCCCAAATATCTGTTGGTTGTTTGAATTTGAATTCCAAGAAGAATTTGGCAGATGGTTTGTTTTGAGGCAGTAGGTGTATTTTTGCTGAAATAAATGGAAGATTTCTGGAGATTAATTTGTTGGCCTGTAATCTGGTTATAGCTTGCAAGTAGTTGAAGGATAAGGGTTGCTTGGTGTGGTTCAGCTTGGGTAAAGAGGAGTGTGTCATCTGCAAAAAGGAGATGAGTTAGGATAGGTCCATGTTTACACAGCTTCATGCCCTTAAAATTCCCACTCTCAGATTCTTTTTTGATAAGACTGGACAGGATTTCAGAGATGATTATGAATATGTAAGGGGACAGTGGGTCCCCTTGTCTTATGCCTCTAGAGGGGGTGACATAGCCTTTGGGTTCACCATTGATGTTGAAAGAGAAGGAAGGAGAGGTGATACAAGCTAAGAGCCATTTCACAACAGAATCATGGAATCCCAGTTTAATCAAACTATATTTAATGCTAGACCACTCGACTCTATCAAATGCCTTGCTCATGTCCAGCTTAATAGCCATGTAGCTGATTTTGCCTTTTGAGTGCCTTTTTAGGAAATGAAGGGCTTCCTGGGCTATTATGACATTATCGAGTATCTGTCTATCATTAACAAAGGCCGACTGGGATTCACTGATGCAAAAGGGTATGTAGGGTTTAAGTCTGGTGGCAAGGATTTTGGCAATGACTTTGTATGTGACTCCACAAAGACTTATGGGTCTGTAATGGGTGAGTCTATCTGGTCTTTGGGTTTTTGGGATTAAGGTGATTAATGTATGATTGAGACTTTTCAGAAGTTGTCCGGATTCAAAGAAACTATTAACAAGTTGAAAGAGAACTTTATGAATTATGTCCCAAAAAGATTGGAAAAAAGCTGAGGTCATGCCATCCATACCTGGTGCATTATTAGGATTGATGTTGAAGAGAGCTTCTCTGACTTCAGCTAGTTCCACTTTGACCAAAAGGTTTTGATTCATTTCATCATCAATGACTTTAGGCAGATCAAAAAGCATAGCAGAGTTGGCTAGAGGAATTTCAGATGTGAACAGCAGCTTGTAGGAGGCTTCAATGTACTGAGATATATCAGCAGGAGTATTGCAGGTGGTGTTATCTTCTCTGATTAGTCTGGTCAAGGAGTTGGATTTTCTTCTTTGCAAAGTGCTGGCATGGAAGTATTTTGTGTTTTTGTCTCCTTCACTGAGCCACTTGATCCTCGACTTTTGCTGCCAAAATTTTTCTTCTTCCTTGTTCAGGTCATCTATTTGATGTTTCACGGAGTCCCAAAGTGCCCAATCAATGAGCCCTCCTTGTTTTCTGAGAGATTCTAGTTGCCTGTTAAGGATCTCCAACTTTTTTTCATTGTCTGATCTGAAACCTTTACTCCATTTGAGCAGGTTAACCCTAGTTTGTTTGATTTTGGACAAGAAACGGTACATAGGAGTGCCTGTTTGATGAGTTTGCCAAGCTTGAGTAACTGTTTCCTTTATGCCTTCTTTGCCTAGCCAGTTCTTGTTGAAGTAGAATCTTTTCTTGAATGTAGAGGTTTCTGGTTCAAGGTTAAGGATAAGCAGACAATGGTCTGAGGAACTCCGGTATGTAGAGGTGACTGAGGCGTTGGGGTAGGTTGAGTGGCAGTTGAGGTTCCCAAAGATTCTGTCTAGCTTTTCCTGGACATAACCTTCACCAGTTCTGTTGTTCCCCCAGGTAAATGGAATACCTGACATGGTGAATTCTTGCATAGACATTGCACTGATGAAGTCCTTGAATGGTCTATAAGATTGTTCAGTTCTGGTGACACCTCCTTGCTTATCTTCAGCACAAGTGATGTCATTCCAATCTCCTCCAAGGAACCAGTTGTCACCCCAGTGTCTTTTTTCAGTAATGAGAACCTGCCATTGCTCAGATCTTTGTCTACTGTCAGTGCTAAGGTATACAAAGTTGCCCCAGCAGGACTTTCTGTGCTTAGCATCCCAAAATTGGACTTGAATGCAAAAATCAAGGGCTTTAATTTGAAGAACAGGAAAGGATGGATTCCAAAAGCAAAGCAATCCTCCCCTCATCCCCATAGGATCAACAGAAAACCAAGAGTTATGTACACCTAATGATCTACAAACAGTATTAATAAAGGCTGCTTTTTTTTTTGTTTCAGAGATAAAAACCAAAACTGGGTGATGGAGCTTCCAAAGCTCCTTTAGCTGGGAGATTGTAGAGGGCCCACCCAGCCCTCTACAATTCCACATTAATATCTTCATTGATTCTGGTGGGGCCATTTGGGGCTGGCCTCCCTCACCTCATTAGTTGACTCCTTGAGTTTTTTGGATTGTTGGGTATCATCCGATGGTTGAGTTGGATAGGGCTGGTTGTGGTTATCATCAATGGAGAATTGTCTTTTGCCACTTGTGATTATTGGTTCATTCTGGGTTGGGAGTTTTTTGGATGAGACTGGAGTTTTTCTTTTCCAAGTTTTGAGGGATTTGGCAGTGGGTGATAATGGAAGTTTAGTGTTGGGTATATGTTCATTGTCGGGGGAGGATTGGGAGGTGGTGATGTTTATCGGTTTTTGGTTGTGAGATGTCTCAGTTTCAGTGACAGGAGGTGTGATTTGTTTGGGAGTTATGGCATTTTGGATAGTGGGCGGGTGAGAAATTTGCATATCTGATGGATGAAAGATGGTGATATCTGTTGAGGGATCAGCAGGGTGTTGTATGTAGTTTGATGGTTCTGGGGTGATAACTGAGGGAGTATTGGTAGGGATTGGAGGATTGGTGGTTTGGTGTGGAGTTGATTGTGTAGGAGACAAAGGTATATTGGTGATAGGTTGGGAGGTTTTGATGGATGGTGATTGGGAGAGTGTGTTGTTGGTGTTAGAAGGTTGATGAGTACTGTTGTTGAGGTCCTTGGAAGGTGTCTCAGGTGACTCGTTCCAGTTACAATGTGTTGAAGGAGATGGATTGTCTTGAGCTCTGAGCCAATCACCGAAGAGACCTTCTGAGAGAACTCCTGAGGTGATGTCTTTGGTTCTTTGGTCACAGGCTTTGTCAGTGTGTCCAATGAGGCCACAGTAGTAGCAAACAGAGGGCAGCCTTTCATACTTGAAATCGACAAGGATTTTCTTGTTTCCTAGTTGAATACTGGCACATCTCATTAATGGTTGCTGAATGTCAATGGTGACAAGGAGCCTGATGCATTTACCCGCGAGAGGACCCACTTGTGGGATTAAAACATTCTTGACTTGGTTAAAGGCTTTGCCTATTTTTAAGCCGACTTCATGAGATATCCAGTTGACTGGGATGTTCCAGACTTGAATCCATAAGTCTAGTTCTGAAAAAGCTTTATGATCAGCTGATAAGTCTTCTTCCCATTCTTTCAGGATCAGAGGTTGATTTTCAAAGTTCCAACCGACTCCTTTGGCCACCTTAGTTTTATCAGCAATGTCATTAAAGCGGAATTGAAAGTAATTTGGGCTAAGCTCCTTCACTGTTACCGGACCCCTAATTTGCCATATGATGCCAATCGTCCTTCTAATCCCAGCAAGGTGAGCTCTCTTGTTCCCAATTATTTTACCAAATAAGCTTTTGCTACACTCCTCAGCACTGATATGGATATCCTCTGGTTCAATAGCTATGGTATTAGCTTCTCTGGCCGAAAGGTGGAAATTACCGAGTTTGTGAACGATGTCTTCCTCCATGAATCAAAACCCTTGGTAAAATAGAATAGCAGCGAAGGTGAAGCTCTTGATCAACAGCAATACAGCAGGAGAAAACCGACCTGGGAAATAGAGATAGAAACCAGACACAAAAGCGAACAAACAAAAGAGGATAACAAAAGCCCTAGCTAGAAATCCCAGAATAAGCAAGGGGTGAGATGGTAGGATAATAGGAAATTAGAGAGTAGATAATAGGAATTAGTTCCATAAGGAAGAATATACTAGCTTACATACGAAGGAATACTGCTTGTTAATGGAGGAATGTAAGCTCCCATGGAAGAGAGGAATTTTTATACTAATTTGTGTTTAAATGAGAGAATGTTATGATGATATTTAAACATTAATAAATTTGCGTTTTAATAGTTATTTATGCAAATGTACTATAAGAAATAATTTTTTTGGTGTATAATTTTCAATTAGAACTCAGGTTAGTGTATGTAATCGAAAAAGAGTAAATTACACATTTACGAAATTTTTATTTTTTTAACTGTAAATATACTAAGGGGCTTGTATTCAATTGAGATTCTTAAGGACTTTTTAAAACTTTTTAAATTTGGTGACTTTTGTGGACTTTATAAAACTTTCATGATTTTGGTGGACTTGTTGAGACTTTCAGAGAATTCTCATTAGTGACTTTTTAAGACTTTCATATTAGACTTTTCAAAACTTATTGAGACTTTTATATACTTGTAGTTATAATATTATGTTAGAATGAAAAATTAATAAACGTAACATAATAACTAATATCAAGAAGAATAAATCAAAAAAAATGTTTTATATATTAATCCTCTAAAAATTTATGAATCAACTCATTGTTATGCGAAATGAGTTATTCAGTAACATATTATTTAGGATTTTATATTTATTAAACGATCAAATCAATCCGAGCTTCAACGAGTCGAACTATGGAAGATACAAATATTGTCGAAAAACAGTAATTGTTTTTTTGCTCTATTTCCCAATATCCATTGGACCGAATTTTATAAAGTTATCAATAATATTCAAAATAATTCAATATCAACAAATAAACTATTAGAAAATAAAATAATTTTATTAATATTAAAATATAAACATTGATAAATAAAAAGAAAGGACAAAAGTGCAAACTATAGAAGCATTTAACCTTTGAAAATCAAATTCACAAGATAACAAAATGAAAGATTAAAGGTATACATACATAACATAACCATATTAAAAAAATATATAAAATAAAGATTACATTAAATATACGTAATGAAATAAAAATTATACAAGGTATAAAAATAAAAGAGTAAAATAATAAAGCATGAAAGTGATATGAGATACAAAGTCGTGTTAGAAAGAAAAAAGAAAGAAAGCGTGAAGAGAGTCACATAAGTCTAACAAAATCTCACCAATATTGATGAGATTTCTGTTGGGACTTTCTCTTTGTAATTTTGTTAGAAAAGTCTCTAAAAGTCTCACAATTTAAAAAGTCTCACAAAGTCTTCATATTTTGAATACAGGGTGACTTATAAAGACTCTCATAAAGTTTTAATTGAATACCCTGAGACTTTTAAGGACTTTTAAAAGTCTTTAAAAGTCTCAATTGAATACATGTAAACTTTTCAGAAGTCTCTAAAAGTTCTGATTGAATACACCAGAATTCTGAAAGTCTTAAAAAGTCTCTAAAAGTTGAAATTGAATACACCCCCCTAACTTTCAATTTTATGAATGATTGAGTTATAGTTTACTTTTATTATCTTTTGAAATTATATTAATTTTTTAATTATGACTCATTTATCAATATGAATGTTGCATTTTTACCAAAAAAGGGTTTCAAAAAACTATAATTATAAAAGTTATGTTTAAGAGATCAATCTTGCATCTCGTGTCTATCCATTTTACCTAATTATAATTATCCCGCAACGAATCCATTGAAATTTCAACCAAAATAAAAAAATAAAAAAAATAAAAAAAAAATGAAGAATGATACACCATAAGTTTAAAGTAGTGCATTTAATTTGCAATTAAATAGGGAATATTTTTCTATTACAAGTTAATATGTAAGATTTGCCTATAAATATATATTCATTTTCAAATTTCACATGTGAAATATTGGTGAATGTAGTTGCTTCCCCCTTCATACTACACTCAGATTAAGTTGGTTAAAGTGGGTTTCCAAGTTCTCACTCAGTCGAAAAGTGTCATATCTGCATGTTTGATAACCGTATTAGAAAAAGCCCTGTTATAGACATATCAAAATCATATACAAGTACATACATTCAGAAATCCTTATATGTAGTTACAATGTGAGCTTAAGTTTAAACTAACTGTCACAAACACAAGTTCACAACTTCAAAAGCTGAATCACATAACATATATACATTCCCCTCATCAAATTGTGCATGTTTGTTTCTGTTGTGTTTGCTTCAAAGTTCAAAGTGGTCCCTTATTTTGGTTTCAGCTTAAGAGAAGCACTGCAGACGAAAAAAAAAATAAAAAAATTATAAACCCCAAGAACAAGAAATGCCACAAGACGATCGAGCTATAAATAAGTGACAAATCATAGGTAAAAGAATGAATAACAAAACAAAACTGTACGGAAAAAAACAAACCTGTTGATGCAATATCGCNAAAAACAATTATTTTTATTTGCACTCACTCGAACAATGGAGTGTCGCAACAAATGCAATGGTAAGTCCCAGGGGTTTTGGTGTTCCAATATTCTCTATAACCAAGGAAATTGAAAGATTGTTTTATATATATATTTGAATGTGTAATTTGCGAAGTGCGAACCTCACTCGATATTTAGGAACCAACATTAATCACTGAAAAATATACATATACATATTTTCGGATAGTAGCTGCAGATAGCTCAGGTGAAAAAAGTTATTTTCCCAAAAAGCTTAAGGAAAAGGGATTATATATACCCAGTAAAAGCCCTCTCAGTGCCTTTTTGCCGAGTAACATAATACTGTTGATCAGTGAGCCTTTTCCTCCACTCTTCATCGCTTATAGATCTGAAATTCATGTTCGCTGAATCTGCACCACATCGTGCATAAGACAAAACTCAACCGAGAGTAAATTTAAAAAGAAATAAACACCAGTTTTTGCATGAAGGAAGCTCAATTTAAACAAAACCTTCCAATCAATAGATGCATTTATATTCTTATAATATATTCTAAACCAAAAACTTTGTCGTGGCTTAGTAAGCTCATTGGATGACCTTCCTATCGATGTGTTACCAATACATACTAGTTTATAATTGGTGATGAATTATAAAGCAAAAGGTGTTGTAGGTTTAAACTGCAACTACCAAGTGATCATTTGAAATGCAAATTCACAAGATTTAACGATGAAGCACAAACATCGAAGGTTTTAACAGGTCACACAATCACACATGACATCATAATTTTACATGTAATTCCACTAATTTTTAATGACTTGATCTTTCAAACCACAAACGAATGCACTTTTTTCCATGAACACGTGTACAATTAGGACATCATTATAGTCATATGGCATTCATCTAAGAGATATGAAACATGAATTGGAACATAATTTTTGAAATTCGAACATGACATCATTTTGAAATTCAAAGCCCCACAAGCTAAGATAATTGTTTCAACTTTCAACCCATTTGTCATAGGATTAGGGGACATCATCAATCTCCAGTTAAAATCATCCCAAACCAACAAAATCCCATTTTCTCTACTTTGATAACACAAATTCTTGCGTGAGGCAGCCTAACGGTCAGGCGGTCGACCCAATTATGACATTTTCTAATGAAAGCATGCGTATTTGTGAAGAATAAAAAACAGTGGTCGACCTAAAACCCACAGCTTTGGGCTGCAGCAAAAACTAACACTATATAATCAACCCTGCAATATCCATAGCCAAAAACACTTTCCACATGAAAAATACTCATAGATCAACAAGATTAAATTTTGAAACACATAAACGCAGGTGAGAGAGAGAGAGAGAGAGAGAGAGAGAGAGAAACCTTGAATGCTTTCTTGATTCTGTGAAGAAGATGAAGAGCCCATGGCAGAAACTGAAAAAAGGTAAGTCCTTTTACTGGGCCTGATCACTGATTTCTTAACAAAAGCGACACAAATAGGCTTGTTAGAGCCAAAACCCAAATGGGATTTTGCTGAATTATAATTATTCACCCAGCTGAAGCTAAACTTGGCTATGGAGTTGAGGGCCATATTCAAGCTTTAACGAATGGTATCAAATCGGTCGAACAGTGGGTCGTGCCTCAAGAAGTTAGGTGATTATCTTGTGTTTCGGCCCTCACGCGATATTATGCACCCAATCTTCTTCAGCCGATCGATCGGTCAACTGTTGAGTTTTTTCTCGATGGTGATGTTGACCACTTATACGTGTACAATTTTGACTGGGCAGCAAGATATGATCATGTGGGCTCGCATGTACCGAAATCTGTTGGACAATTTTGTTTCACGAGTTCTATCATGTGGTGCAACGTAGAGCAATACCAAACAAAAGAAAAACAAGTGTTGAACAATAAAAAGAAAAATAAGTGACTAATTCATTAAACAATAAAAAAAGTTACTAGTAGTCTAGTAGTATATTTTCAGTTAAAAGAAAAGACTTAATAAATGTGAAAAAATATAATTTATAAGTGAACAGTTTAATTTTCTCAAATTAAAAATTATTATAAAGAAAAATGAAAGGCCCATGCATGAATCAGTCCAATAAAACATGGGCCCTGGCCCTCAAACGCTACGAGGAAAAGCCCAATCCTCCCAGCCCGCAAGGAGAGGCTGTAAACAACACGCTCCATATGCACGCGTACGAAAACACTTTCTGCCAGCCTCCATCGCCGTCAGCCAAAATCCTCAAAACCAGAAGAAGAAAACCAGTGACACTCGAGCTCTAAAATTCGAAAAACATGTGTTCATTATCAACCCCCTCACCACCAAAACCATGGCGAATCATTATAAATCAACCAATCCCCATGAAAGTCCCACCCGCCAACTTCTCCCCACACAAAATCCCAAAAAGGCCCATCTCCTGCCTCGCATTCGATCCGTCCAAAATCGCCGCCTCCTCCGCCGCGCCGCCGCTTGTGGTGGTGGGCTCGGCCAACGCCGACATATACGTAGAGATCGACCGGCTGCCCAGGGAGGGCGAGACCGTGTCGGCCAAAACCGGGCAGACGCTGGCCGGCGGGAAGGGCGCGAACCAAGCGGTCTGCGGCGGCCGGTTGCGGTACCCGACCTACTTCGTGGGTCAGATCGGGAAGGACGCGCATGGGAAACTGATAGCAGAGGCTTTAGAGAGCGGCGGGGTCTCGCTGGATTATCTGAGCACCGTGGACGGTGCTCCGACGGGGCACGCGGTGGTGATGCTGCAGGCCGACGGGCAGAATTCGATCATCATCGTCGGCGGAGCGAACATGGCTTGCTGGCCGGAAGTTTTGGACAGGGAGGATTTGGAGGTTGTGGAGAATGCGGGGATTGTTTTGCTCCAGAGGGAGATCCCTGATTCTGTTAACATTCAAGTTGCTAAGGTGGGATATGGTTTTCCCTTTCAT